ATCTTTGTTGCCATATTTATCACAACATTTCGGCCATTGTACGCTCCGGCCTTCTACAGGTGGTTGGAATGTCGAATTGAACTCTTTATTTTGCTTTGGAAAGGGGAATTAACAGGAGATAACTGACATCCATTAGACATGGAACTAGAACAGTCTCCCCCAGTGAGCAAAATAAAGGGTTCAGTTCGACATTCCAACCCCCTGAAGAAAGCTGGAGCGTACAGCAGCCAAAATGTTGTGATAAATATGGCAACAAAGACGTAGATGATTGTCTGAGCAATGTAAATAGTAACCAAATTTCTATTTTCAAAGTTTTAAAATATACAATTTACGTGATAATCTAAATATCCAATTATTTTGAGCAAACATGAACACCAACTAGCTCCTCCCCTTTTTTTTTCTTTGTCTCGGTACTCTTCGTTGACCCATGTGATTATCAATGTGCTATAAAAAAATTGGATTTATTTATTATGCTGGTTTTCTATTGCTTTCAAACTAACATTGTAAGTACAATTTAGTACTAATGGTCTCAACTGCTACTAACAACCACAGTATTCAGCTAACTAGTATAAGTTGATCCTTGCAGTTGACTGTTCCACTTATTATCCGCTATTGGTTACTTCAGTCAATGTATCAATTGATTGATACTTACCTATATAAGCAACTGGAGAGCTGCTGTCTGCAACAGGCTTTGTTTTTTTATCATTGGGGTCTGCTCTTTTAGGTGATTAAGGCTTTTTTTTTCTCTCGCTCAGCCTCATTGACTGCCTGGCTAGGTTGGACCTGCTGGAAGATAAACTCCTGCCAGCATAGCTGTTTGGATCATAGGAACGTGAAAACCATTCTACTATGTCAAGGTACTTAATTGTGGAGTAGAGAAGAAATAGCTTGCTATCTTGTCCTTCCAACTAATCTGTGTTATAGCTGACTGTTGCTTGGCATCCATCATTGTGAAAAAAAAAAAAATCATACCTACAATGTTCATATAAGATATCCAATTTATACAAATACCCATCTTTAAAGTTTTATGCATTTTGCACAATAACCTAAATACACAAAATTAATATTTTAAGCAAACTAGAACACAAGCTCTTTCCATTATTCTGTCTCCGTGATCTAGTTGACCGATGTGACTATTGATGAATTGGATTTATTTATCATGCTGTTTTTTTTTTCATTTACCCTCACACTTACATTGTAAGTATAATTCAGCATGAGTGGTTGCAACTCAGCAGCTGACTGGAATCTGTCAATCGATGTCATTGTAATTGACTGTGCTATTTATCACCTGCCAATAAGTTGATATCGAACCAATATATTGATCTGTTTATGCTTGTCAGTCTATGCAACTCAAGAGCTGCTGTCCACTTCAGGTTTCTTTTTTGTTATCATTGAGATTTGCTCTTCTATATGACTAAGATTTTGTATGGCTTTTACCTATTGGCTATCTGACTAGGGTGAACTCCCTACTGTCATAGAACCCGGCAAACCACTCTCCCATATCAAGGTACTTAATCATGGAATGCATTTTCTTGGTTCAATATTTCTTGAATCTTAAACTGGTACTATCTGACTGGTGCCTTGTGGCACTTAATACTTCTTGATGAGGCTTCTCTAATTGCATTGTTCAATGGGTTGGGGTGGTAATTTTTCTTGGTAATACTAACTAGCTCTATCTATTCCACATTTGGGAATTCTGTTTTCCTGCTTTTAGATTGGTTGCTAACCAAGGCTGAAGAGCCCAGTTTGATCTACTATTTAACCTATAACTTGGGGGCATAGTGAAATAAGTAAAGATATTTGATACTGTTTCTTGTCCACATTCTGTAAATTAAATATAATTTTAGGTATGCTATATTTATGGGTAAAAGTGCTCAATTTTGGAGATAGAGAATATGTAAATGAAAAATTAGACACTGAGCTTAACACCCACTGGTGACGGTCTGTTTCAAGTTTGAATGCAATCTTCAGGCCATGTGTGAATATTGCGTCCAAGCCTGGAGACATGGCCTGAAGATTGCGTTCAAGTATGAAACAGACTGTTGCCACTTGGTGTTGGCCTGCTTTTCTTTTACACACATGCTCACACACAGTGCGATAGATAAACTGTCATCTAAATTATGCAAAAATGAAAATAATACGGGACTGACATCTCATTAGACCAAAATTATATAAAAATATCTTTAAATACCTAAGAGTAAATTTATTCAATAAAATCACTATTGGCTTTAACCATGGCCTCCAGATGACTTCAAAATCTCCTACAACTATTTTGAACAGTCTCCTTGTTTAAGCTGGTAAATGCTGTCAGTACATCTTTGGTGTTGCAATGAGTTTTGTGGGTCACTTTTTCAATTGTGCCCAACACATAATCAAGGTGGGGTTGCAGTCTTGGGAGTTAGGTGGCCAGATGTAAAGGGTGATGTGGTTGCAGAAATTGTCTGACGGCCACGACTGTGTTCTCTTGCTTGTGTGTCATGGTGCAGAGTCCTGTTCCTGGTCTTCCAGCAGCCACCCTCTTGATACAGGGCAGCACTACTTCCACAAAGCACTTGATGTAGTCCTCCATGTTGAATGTCAAGCCATGTAGGAAGATGAATGAAGGCATAATATCAATATCACTAGTGATACTGAGATTATGCTTCCATTTACCATCATAATCACCATTAGACTCATCCAACTCTTTCTGAATCCTCTACACTATCCTCAGATTGACACTCTGAAATGTTTGGCATTCGTGTTGGAAGCCCCAGTACAAACAGTACAGCATGCTGTTTCCAAATTTCTGGCAGAGTGAATTGTGTCATGGTGCTCTTTTTCTCACTGGCTAGCCTTGATAAGAGTCCAAAAAAGGATTACACGGCCTTGTGGGTGAGGAATTATTCTCTACATTGTGAACCTGAAATATTCGTATTGCAGCTTCTGTTGCAAATCCAAACAGCACAGCATGCTGTTTCTAGATTCCTGGCAGAATGAATTGCATCATGGTGCTCTTTTTCTCACAGATGGTGCTCAACTGACCCTACTCTATACTGTGCAGTTAACAAAATAAAAAAAAAGATAATGCACATACGCAAATTTTAAACATAAAATGGTGACAATTTACCCATTGCACCCTGTGTGTGTATATATATATATATATATATATATATATATATATATATATATATATATATATATATACACACACACACACACACCCACATATACTTCAGAAAGTGTGTACCTTTTAAACTGACAATATAAATAAAAATGAAAGGAAAACTTATTCGACACATTTCATCCTCAGAGGGACTTTATCAAGGCAAAATGTGTCATTAAGTTTCCCCTTTTGTCTTTATTCACAAAAAGACAACAACACACACACACACATATATATATATATATATATATATATATATATATATATATATATATATATATAGAGAGAGAGTTAAATAATAAAAAAAAATCTTGGTAATCCATATGGATAATCCCAAGGAGGATGAAATTTGGAGAGCTCAATGTTAAATCAGAGCGATTAATTTAATGAAAACAGACAACTTTAATGATCCAATGGTTATAATTTATTTCCACAGGGAATTTCTTTTTCCCTGGCTCATCAGACCAAACTTCCAAGGGGAAAACTGAATGTAAATTTATATATATTTTTTACACTTTTGAGGGGTAGTATTAAGTTGATGTAAGGTGATATAGAGAATAGTGGGAGATGGTGACAGACATGGTCAAAATATATTTAAGGGTCATTCTGTCTTGAACAAAAGTCACAAATGACTGTCTCAGAAAAAAAAATTGGGAAAAATTCACTGTTGGTCAGTGATCAAAGTTACTGATAAATACCTAATATTCGATCTATATCTTTTTAATAGTTTTAAAATCAGCATCTTTAAATTTCACTCTAGTTTTAAATAAGGTTTTCAACAGAATTCTAACATTCCTAACTTCAACATGATTGCATGTACAGATTTTAAATTTGGTGACAAGTTAATGCAATATCTATATTCATTCCTGTGAGGATAGGAATATTGGTATTACTATTTGAAAATTGCTGGATTTTATTTTCTGCTGCCTTCTGGCTAAAACCAGAGATCATTTCTACAACATCTGTATTTGTAGCACCAGACTGCATGTCAGGAAGATATGGGCCCTGTCACTGGCAGACTTCAACTGCTTGCTGTGGAGTGACAGAGCCATAATATGCTGGATGCATGGCATGTCTACTAAGGATGAGGTCAGGTTTCTAGAAAAGTTATGTCTTAATGACCTTGAGTCACTGCTGTGCAGTCATGTTCAGCACAAGGGACCTATCAGACATATCACTAATAACAATAAAATTGCAATATGAACTTTGGTAAAAATGGTTACTGAGACATAAATCCACACACTTGAGAATATGAATGCATCATTTCCAGGGATGTGCAGGTGGTGTAAAGAATAAAGGCTTGGAATGAGAAATCAGAGAGCAGAGTTTGAATTCCAGTTGGATTCATTACATTTACTTAGATGCAAATACCTTTGGGAAAGGTATGAATCCATCTCTTCTGTCCCCCAAGCATGGGTTAAATAGGACTTGTATCTCGAAAAATCGTTGTTCTCAAAAAAAATTTTTAATACCATGTTTTGGCAAAGGGTTGATAAGTCATAAATAATACAATTCTGCCATCAAAAGACTTTTAGTTTGATTATGCAAAAAAAAGACTCCCTTCTTGATTTTTATATTAAAATGGCATGTGATGGGGAAGAGAATCTTTTTTTCTTAAAAAGTGTATTATTAGTGCAAACTCCCTTATATTTTGTGTATGAAATATGTAGCCAGTCCTTGTTGCAGATGCCTGCTCAGCCACATTTGTGTTTGTGGTTTATACTGCATCAATGCTGAATGGAACTTACAGTTTCTGGGAAGGAGCACATTATCTAGCCTGATCAATGGTTTGAACAGGACCAGTACACTCAAACTCTCGGTCATGATGACTTGTGGATTTGTGCTAACACAACCATTAATGAACAATTTTGTCTACTCAATTCCACTCTCTGTTCATATCTCTCTCTCTCTCTGTTCATATCTCTCTCTCTGTTCATATCTCTCTCTCTCTCTCTCTCATATCTCTCTCTCTGTTTATCTCTCTCTCTCTCTCTCTGTTCATATCTCTCTCTCTGTTCATATCTCTCTCTCTCTGTTCTCATATCTCTCTCTCTCTGTTCTCATATCTCTCTCTCTCTGTTCTCATATCTCTCTCTCTCTGTTCTCATATCTCTCTCTCTCTCTCTCTGTTCTCATATCTCTCTCTCTCTCTCTCTCTTCATCTCTCTCTCTGTCTCTCTCTCTGTCTCCCTCTCTCTGTCTCTCTCTCTGTCTCCCTCTCCTATCTCTCTCTCTATCTCCCTCTATCTCTATCCCTCTCTCTCTCTATCCCTCTATCTCTATCCCTCTCTATCTCTATCCCTCTCTATCCCTCTCTATCCCTTCATCTTTTTTGTTTGTTTTTTTTTTTTTTTTTTTTATTACTCTTTCCCTCATCCCTCCCTTCCTCTTTTCTCTCAATCTGTCTTAAAGATGTTTTACAGTATCAAAGGATTGGAAAAAAAAAATCCTTATAAATAAAGAAAATAGCGTTGGACTTTGATGTCATGTCTAATCTATAAGAGATACTTTTTTAGAAATTTTTATTATTTTTTGAGCCAACTCAGGCACCATTAACTAGCTTTTTCCATTTTCTCATTGGATTTATTAGTCATACTATTTATTAGTTGCTGTCACTCTTAAATTGTAAGTATGATTCAGTACAGGTGGTCCTCTTAGCAACTGTATTATTCAGCTAACTAGATTTGGTTGATCCATGCCATTGGAGTTGACTTATCTGCCATTGTCAAATAAAATAAAGGAACACTGCTACATGTAATGAGAGCAAAAATAAATATGACCACTCCAAGCTGATCTCTTTGAAGAGAACTATCTCCTCATAGCATGCAGTCAACTATTGAATTAGATCACTCCAAGCTGATCTCTTTGAAGAGAACTATCTCCTCATAGTATGCAGTCAACTATTGAATTATGATCACTCCAAGTTGATCTCTTTGAAAAGATATCTCCTCATAGTATGCAGTCAACTATTGAATTATATCACTCCAAGCTGAATTTTTGAAGAGAACTTTCTTAGTATGCAGTCAACTATTGAATTATGATCACTCCAAGCTGATCTCTTTGAAGAAACTATCTCCTCAAATGCAGTCAACCATTAATTATGATCCTCCAAGTTTCTTTGAAGAGAACTTCTCCTCATAATGCAGTCAAATGATTAATCAATGTGATCTCTTTGAAGAGAACTATCTCCCTCATAGTATGCAGTCAACTTTGAATTATCATTATTCTCTTTGAAGAGAACTATCTCCTCATAGCATGCATCCATTAAATTATGACCACTCCAAGTGGAAGAATCTCCTCATAGCATGCAGTCAACTATTGAATTATGACCACTCCAAGCTGATCTCTTTGAATATCTCCTCATAGCATGCAGTCACTATTGAATCCTCATCTTTCTTTGAAGAGAACTATCTCCTCATAGCATGCAGTCAACTTTGAATTATGACCAACGTTTCTTTGAAGAACTATCTCCTCATAGCATGCAGTCAACTATTGAATTCCACTCAAGTGGTTCTTTGAAGAAACTATCTCCTCATAGCATGCAGTCAACTATTGAATTATGACCACTCCAAGCTGATCTCTTTGAAGAGAACTATCTCACAGTCAACTATTGGGTGACCACTCCAAGCTGATCTCTTTGAAGAGAACTATCTCCTCATAGCATGCAGTCAACTTTGAATTATGACCACTCCAAGTGATCTCTTTGAAGAGAACTATCTCCTCATAGCATGCAGTCAACTATTGAATTATGACCACTTAAGCTGATCTCTTTGAAGAGAACTATCTCCTCATAGCATGCAGTCCTATTGAATTATGACCACTCCAAGCTGATCTTTTTGAAGAGAACTATCTCCATAGCATGCTCAACTGTTGAATTATGACCACCGGAAGAGAACTATCTCCTCACTATCACAACTATTTGAGTCCTGTCTTTGAAGATCTCCTCATAGTATGCAGTCAACTTTATCCACTGTGCCATTGTGTCCTCATAGTATGCAGTCAACTATTGAATTATCCATTAAACATGGCTCTTTGAAGAGAACTATCTCCTCATAGAATGCAGTCAACTATTGAATTAACCCCAAGTGATCTCTTTGAAAGAGCTAAAGGTTCAACTATTGGACATTCTAACCACCTTTGAAGAAGATCTCCTCATAGTATGCAGTCAACAAATTATGGCCACTCCAAACTGATCTCTTTGAATATCTCCTCAATATGGTCAACAAATTATGAGGACAATGATCTCTTTGAATAATGTAAATAAGTCAACTATTGAATTATACCTCCATCTCTTTGAAGAGAACTAATATAGACAGATATTGAATTATGACCACTCCAAGGATCTCTTGAAATATTGCAGTCAACTATTGAATTATGACCACTCCAAGATGATCTCTTTGAAGATAGTCTCCTCATAATGCAGTACATTGAATTACCTCATTTCAAGAGAAATATATCATAGTATGCAGTCAACTATTGAATTATGACCAATCCAAGTGTTCTTTTGAAGTTGCTTCTCCTCATAGTATTCAACTATTATTAAGTAAGCTGATCTCTTTGAAGAGAACTATCTCTCATAGTATGTAGTCAACAATGTTATGACCATTCAAGCAGAAGGAAATTCTGGTATGACAACTATTGAATTATGACCACCTTACCTCATAGTATTAACTATTGAATTATGACCACTCCAAGCTTTTTTCTATCTCCTCATTTGCAGTCAACTTTGAATTAACCAAAATTCTTTGAAGAGAACTATCTCCTCATAGTAAAACAAATTATGACCCTAACAGATTCATTGAAAATCATAGTAAAATGGAATTATGACCATAAGCATCTTTTGAAGAGATATCTCCTCATGACAATATTCTTATGACCACTCCAAGCTGATCTCTTTGACAAATATCTCCTCATAGTATTTTTCAACTAAAAATTATGAAAATAGATCTCTTTGAAGAGAATTCCTCTAGTATGCAGTCAACTATTGAATTATGATCCTCCAAGCTTCTTTTTGCTCTCCTCATAGTATGCACAACTATTGAATTTGATTTTTTTATTTGAAGTTATCTCCTTAGTTCAAACTTAATTTCATCACTTTAGCTGATCTTTTGCTATTGATAATGCAGTCAACTATTGAATTATGATCACTCAAGCTGATCTCTTTGAATTATCTCCTCATAGTTTTCCTATTGTCATGATTTTAAGCTCATCTCTTTGAAGATTCTCCTCTTCAGTCAACTATTGGTTAAATCATCTCTTTGAAGAGAAATATTCCTCATATATATATATATATATATATCTTTGAAGAGAACTATCCTCATAGTTTTATTCAACTTTGAATTATGACCAAAACATCTCTTTGAAGAGAACTATCTCCCTCATAGTATGCAGTCAACTATTGAATTATGATCTTGTTCTCTTTGAAGAGAACTATCTCCTCATAGTATGCAGTTTATGACCACCTAGAGTTGATTTTTTTTATTTTTGCAATATTAATTATGACCACTCCAAGATTAATTTTGAAGAAATTCCTCATAGTATCAGTCAACTATTGAATTATTGTTCCAAGGATCTCTTTGAAAAACTATCTCCTCATAGTATGCAGTCAACTATTGAATTACACTCCAAGCTGATCTCTTTGGAAACTATCTCCTCATAGTATGCAGTCAACTATTGAATTATGATCCAAGCTGATCTCTTTGAAGAGAACTATCTCCTTTAGTCAACTATGTCCACTCCAAGCTGATCTCTTTGAAGAGAACTATCTCCTCATAGTATAAACTATTGAATTGGTCTTTTTTGATGCTATCTCTATTTATGCAACTATTGAATTAAATGTTGTTTGAAGAGAACTTTTTGTCATTGATGAATTTGATCACTCCAGGTTTTTGAAGAGAACTATCCATAGCATGCAGTCAACTATTGAATTATGTCGGACCTGCCGGAAAAAAACTCCAACCTTGTATAAGCTCACTGAAGAGAACTATCCTCATAGCATGCAGGAATTATGACCACTCAAGCAAGGCTGCAGTCTCTACCAATTATGACCATCAAGGAAGAGAACTATAATTATGGAATGAAATTACGGTACTAGTCTCTTTGAATAAACTTTCCTCATACAGATGAAGAAAAAACTTTTGAAAGAACTATCTCCTCACAGATAAATCTAATTATGACCACCTGCAAGAACTATTCCTTGCAGTCAACTATTGAATTGTCTTTTGGCATCTTGGCATGCAGTCAACTTTCTCACCACTGCTGATCTCTTTGAAGAGAACTATCTTCTCTGTGACCTTTTCTTTGATAAATATCTCCTCATAGCATGCAGTCAACTATTGAATTATGACCACTCAAAGCTGATGAAAACTATTCCTCTATGCATCACCTAACATAAATTTCAGCATGCAGTCAACTATTGAATTATGACCACAGTCTCTTGAAGAGAACTATCTTTAGCATGCAGTTCTATTGAATTATGAACTCTTTTTTGAAGCTATCTCCTCATAGCATGCAGTCAACTATTGGTCTTCTAAAAACTTTAAATGCAATGTCAATTATGACCACTATCTCTTTGAATTCTTGTTTCATTTATTGTTCTCTTTGAAGAGAACCTTCTATATAATAAATGACCAATGTCTCTGTGTCATTTGTGTCACAACTTTTTCAACTTTGATCCTAGATGCTCCTCAGCATGCAGTCAACATATTATACCATTTTTTTGAATCAGACCAACTCTATGAATTATGCAAATGATCTCTTTGAAAAACTATCTCCTCATAGTATGCAGTCAATCTTGAATTATGACCACTGCAATCCAGAGATTTGGGATTCTCAAGTTTTGATTACTGTGATTGTTTTATCTCACCTCATAGTATGCAGTTTTTTATGGGACAAATTTTTCATAGTATGCAGTCAACAATTTTTATAACTTGAAATAAATTTTGGAATAATTCAAATTAATTATGACCACTCGTGAATTCCAGTAAAAGTCACTCATGAAATTAGAATTGTTTAGTATAGAAATTAATTATGACCACCTAGTGATCTTTGAAATTAATGCAGTGATCAATTTTGAAGTTCTTCTATATGCAGTTTTGTTGCCTATCACATCTACTCATCTCTACTTATTGTGATTTGAAGGAACCTCCTCAAGTATGTCCTCCACAATTATGACCACTAAGCTTAAATGAACTGCCCAATAGTATGCAGCTTTTAAGCTAGTAATATCCCTATTTTCTCAACTATTTAATTATGCTCAAGTGATCTCCTTTGAAGTCTTATAGTAGATTTCAACTATTGATTGCCTTGCCAGTTTAAGAACTATCTTTAGTATGCAGTCAACTTTGAATTATGATCACTCCAAGCTGATCTTTTGAAGAGAACTTCATTTGCAGTCAATTTGA